AAACAGACCGGAATTAAACAGAGAACACGGAACCACGTTCAGTATCTTGTTGCCAAAGCAAAAAAGGAATAGTTTACTAATACACTTGAGGGAAACAAAAAATGACTCACAACTGTATGGAAAACTGTTAAACATCTTGGTTTGCCTTCCAAGGAGTGTTCATTTTCAACCGGTTCAAATATTTGTTTAAATATCGATGATAATGTGTGTTTTGAAAAACAATTATTGCTGAATCATTTAACAAATTTTATATAACAGTTGCATGTAAACTTGTTGAAAAGTTGCCAGAAAGTGTGCATAAATTTGGTACGAATTTTGTTAATACTTTTTATGCAAATAAGGGTGTTTTTGCTAACAGTTTTTCTTTTTCCATTGTTTCTGAAAGTAAACTTCTTAAATACTTAACTTCATTATGTGTCAAAAAAGCTACTGGCTTAGATGGTATACCTTCACGTTTTATCAGAGATGGATCCCCAGTTATTGCTAGTCTATTACCTCATATCATAAACTTATTCCTTATCCAAGGTCAAGTCCCTGATGATCTTAAATCTGCAAGAGTTGTTCCCCTCTATAAAAAGAACGACACATTGTCTGTTGGTAATTATCGGCCTGTGTCCATTTTAAATGTTTTATCTAAAATCCTTGAAAAGGTGGTTTATGACCAGGTTGAAGCTTATTTCAAGGATAAAGATCTGCTGTATAAATTTCAATCAGGTTTCAGGAGTGACTTCGTAAGATTTTGGGTCATGGTAATTTTTCTGCTGTTTTTACTAAAATCATTAAACGTTTTATTAAAAGAGGTTATGACCCTACTATTTTAAGACATACTGCATGTTTAGTGTTCAACCCTTTTACAGTTGGTCACTACGCTTTCCTCTTTTGATTGCATCTGACGGACCAAGTGGGAGACTCTATGATGGATAGTTCGTAAAGCCCTTTGGGACTGAATTGTCTTAATGTTCGTCTTCTGCCTTGCTTCGTCGGGCCCTTGTAGGTGATTTTCTTGTTGCTCTGTCTTCCTTTAGGACATTGAGTACTTTTGTTATGGTCATTGGGTTTACTTTTATATGTTTCTATATGATCATTTTAGTGTTTTACTTAATTAACCTTTTGTAACCATGACAACTGTTAGAATTTCACTTGGCGGGGATTCATTTTATTTACACTGTCTCGTTTATAGGAACATGGTGGGCTAAGAGCGAGGTTTGGTGCACCATTAACCGGTTTAAACTCCCCAGCAGTCATTATTATGCTGCTGACCGTTCCAAGGCGGCGCCCCACTGTGTTCCTCAGATGTATGTCTATGTTGTTTCATACTGTTTTGGTGACACTTTTGCTTGTGTCCCTTGTTGTTTTCTCGTCTACGGTAAGTATCTTCCCTATTGCCTCTGGTTTCTATTTCTTTGATCAACCCCCCCTTCTCCCGGTCTCCTGTCCCCTTCCCCTTTGTGGGCCTATTATTATTTTCTTTGAATTCCTAATCAGTTACAAATTATTTATCATTTAATGATTAATCTGTCCGTGCTCTGTCTTTGCCCTGTCCTGATTTTGTTTGGGGTCCGCCTGGGCTCCTTGCCATTGGTACTTGTTGCTGGGTCATATGGGGGTTGCGTTCATTGAACGCCACCTTTCCTTGTTGATCTTGTTTTTCATATATTGTCTGATTCACCTTACAGACTTTATCAGGTATGAAAACGATAAAGGTAATGTTGTTGGTATGGTGCTGCTGGATTTGCAGAAAGCGTTTGACACAGTCGACCATTCCATTCTTTTAACTGCAAGCATCAGGTCTTAGTATTGACGTCCTATATTGGTTCAAATCATATTTATTAGATAGACAGCAGCTTGTAGATGTCTCTGGTACTAATTTTTCCAATTCCAAAATAGCATGTGGTGTTCCTCAGGGTTCAATCCTTGGACCCCTTCTCTTTTATTTATGTAAATGATATGTCATCTGTGGTAAAAATAAATTGCTTGTATATGCTGATGATTCTGGTATCTTTGTATCTGGTCAAAGTTTATCTGTTGTTGAAAAGGCATTGACAGATGATATGGAATTGGTCAGCCAATAGTTACTGGAAATTAAGTTGTCATTGCACTTGGGTAAAACCGAGTTAATTTTGGGCCCAGGCAAAACCTTAGGTCACAATCTAAACCGCATCTAATCTGTTCTGGTACATCCATTGAATCAACTTCCTCTATCAAGTATCTTGGGATTACTATAGACCAAAATCTGTCATTTTGCTCCATGGCCGAGTCTGTTCTTAAGAAGGCCAACTCTCGGTTAAATTTTCTTTACCGCAAGAAGGAGTTTCTTACTCAGCATACCAAGAAACTTCTGGTTATGTCTCTTATTCAGTGTCACTATGATTACGCATGCTCTGTTTGGTATAATAGCTTGACACAGTCTTTAAAAATAAATTACAAACTTGTCAAAAAATAATGAGATTTGTACTTGACTTAGATTCCAGAGCCCATATTGACCAATCCCACTTTTAGTCCTTTAGCTGGTTACCGGTCCACAGAAGAATTGAACAGATAATGTTCTGTCATGTTTTTAAGATAAAAAATGGCCTGTCTCCAGATGACATGTCTGAACACTTTATTTCGCAAGATTCCGTACATTATTATAGTACAAGACTTAGTCAAAAGGGTTGGTGTTTTCTACCTAAGGTCAGGTTTCTAAATCCTTTGCTTTCTCTGGAATTAAATTATGGAATGATTTACCTGTAGAGTTAACGTAGATCAACAGGTTACAAAGTTTTAAGGTTGCCATCAAAAGTCATCTTATGAACAGTATTTATTTTTTTACTATGTTTTTACATATTTCGGCTCAGAATTTTAAATTGTCTGCTAAATATCTTTTTACAATTTTAGTAATGTGTTTTAAATCTTAGCTGTAAACACGAGTGTCATTAACTCAAGATTACTGTGATATATATTTTTATGATTTATTAGTATTTTAAACATGATTATATTTAGGTCTGCCTCTCTATGTCATGCAACCAAATCAAAGGACCACAATGGAAATAAGAGCTTTTTGTACTTTTTGTGTTATCCTTGGTGTTGGTGAGCATGTCATAGTTTTCTCGTATGTGATATAGTATTTAATAATTTTGTCTCAGCTATGTATATACTTCCTATGCAGAAATCTCTCTCTCTCTCTCTCTCTCTCTCTCTCTATCTACCCTACCCTACCCTACCCTACCCTACCCTACCCTACCCTACCCCTACCCCTACCCCTACCCCTACCCCCACCCCCTACCCCTACCCCTACCTACCTACCTACCTACCTACCCTACCCTACCCTACCCTCCCTACCTACCCAGAGCTATATTTAATTGACTTATTGGAAAATTAATATACTGTTATTTTTTGAATTGCTTCAAAACCTTGTGTTTACATTCCGAAAAACCATAACACCTCATGTTCAAACTGTAGACGAAAGTTTCTGTTGTAAAATGTAACAGCATTCGGCAAATCAACATTACACTCAAACCACCATAAAACCGATTGCATTCAACTTCTTACAGAAATATTTCGAGAAATCAGGGTCGATTTCAATATTCACGGTAAAATTGTCAGAAGTGCAATCAGGGCAGTTAAAAGGAAAGGAGCTTTATACCGAAAGAAAAGACCATTTCAAAGCGGTAGTACTATGATAAAACAATTTGTAAAACATGGCCTTCTTAAATTTTTCGATAAACTTATAAAGATTGCAATTTATTGTTGAATATGTTTGCATTTCATTTCCTGCAAAATTCTCCAGTTCGCTATTTATTACCATAGGGCGACACGAATGACCATTTCGTGTAGACAAAAAATACTTCTGTAAATAGATTTTCAGACTTTCACAATTTTAAGGCTTTCTAGATATTTATAGCTTTCGAATTCACGTGAGGCGTGAAATATGTCCCCGTTCTCATTCATTTATATGACATGCTGCAAATCACCGAAGAGGAAAGCAATATATGACTTTACTTATTAGAAATCGGGAGGAGTTCTTGATTTCGAATTTATTTTAGCTGTAAATCGAAGGGATTAATTAATAAAAATCATAATAAGTATACAATGGAGAGAATATGTGTTTGATTTATGTATGATAACTAAGGTCTTATATTTGCTTTTCGAATAGCTGACTTCTATTGAACGATTGTGAAAAAATTCAAGAATTAAAGAGTTTGTTTATACTTTACCTATATCTATGCAAATTATGTTTTAGGTAATAGCTTAATATTGAAAGAATTATTCTTAATTCACATCCGTATCCCTTTTGATAAAAATCAAACCATTATCATATACCGTTGAAGTAAGCAAGACAAAAATATATATTTTCATTAATATAATGTTAATTATTGACAATTTCATTAATTAACTACACTTAAACTGAAAAAATTAAGTACTAAGTGAACAAAAAAAAAAAAAAAAAAAAAAAAAACAACAACAAAAAAAACGTGAAATTTCATTGTTGTGAGGTATTGCAAATGAGATTCTTGTTTTAAAGATGTCTCGGAAACCTACATTGCATCAATTTAAAATGGCGACATTTTTGCTAAGAAAAAAAAAACAATAGCATTTCATAATGGCCGAGCTGGAGAGCCAATCAAAATCTCCAATCTGATAATGGCCGAGTTTTCTCAAAAAGGCCGTACTTTGTGCATTATAGCATTGTTTCATGTTCATAATGTCACTGAGTACCGCTCAAGCCGGTGCTAGGGGGCGTGAGGGATGTTGCACTAATTCATTATCCCTCATGTACAGGCTCAATCAAACCGAGTCTGTAATTCTCTTGTAATTTTGTTGTGATTAATGCTTACGAGAGATCACTTTGTTTCCAGATTTTCATATAAGTCATATATTCGAAGAGAAAATTTGCCTTATATAGAAAAGTTAATTAATAAAGTAAATTAAATAAATAATAAATGCACTTATTATAATGATAAGGTTGTTGTTTACATATAAAATAAAAGTAGAAAAGTAAATAAGACTTTGTGTTATACCTTTGCTAGTTTTCTGGTTTTTCTCTTCATCTTTATTTTCTTGCAAATCATCATGAACATTTTCGGCAACTTTACCTTGGAATAAAATGGAACATATGCTATGTACATAACCAATAGTATACAGTAGAGAGGATATTTGTTTGATTTATGCATGGTAGCAAAAGTCTTATATTTTCTTTCAAATAGCTGATTTGTTTTGAACGATTGTGGAAAACTTAAAAATAAATTGTTTATCTTTTTTTCTTAATCGATCCAAATTGCATAAATAGCTTATTCTCTATAGAATCTTTATTCTTTTTAACTTTTCAACTTAAACGAAAAAGTAATAAAAACACCAAACAAATGTTCAAATGTAAGTGGCCTTCATACATACGCACCAATTTTAATATATGACTTAAGTAATTATATTTTTCTTAATTTACGCGTACAATAATTATCGGTAATTGTTTTGGTATATCCGATATACCACTTGTTTTAAATGTGTAATTGAGAACTCTTTTAGTGCTAATTATGTGCGTTAGCTTCGTTCATCCGTTTAACAGTAGGCCTGAAATTGTGTCGTTCATGCAGTTTATAAACGAAATTAGATCTTATAGGATTGCATATATTTACGTCATCAATAAAATTTTCCGCGGAAATTACCGATCGTGTTACGAAAAATAACGACTTTCTTAATTACACATTTGTCATACAAGAACACCGTGTTTACAGTGTTTGGAATTTATGTTTATCAAAATTTATTAAAGACAGAAAAATATGACTTTTCTTGGCCAGAGACCTTTATATTATATTCAGTCTAAAAAACTGCAAAGCCATTATAGTTTATATCAGTCATTCTTCATACATTTCTATATGTAATAATAGTATCATGATCTGTAAACGATTGATTTCGACAAAAAAACTTTTCATATTACTTATTTCAAAAATATGTTTAAAGAATAGATAAAAAAAATAATAAAAGAAAAAAGAAATAATAATAATAATAATAATAATAAATAATAATGATAATAATAATATTTATAATAATAATAATAATAATAATAATAATAATAATAATAATAATAAGCCAAAGCCGCTTGCAGACTATTATATCATATTTCTTGACACCGTTTATAGGTCTTGTCTATATTTTGGCAGGTGCAGGGAAAGCATCAATTCAGACCCTTTTATTATTGTGTCACGACATATGGATATTGTGTGTATGCATCAGTTAACATTTAGGAAATATAATACAATACCTCTCTTTTTGTGTGTTGTTTCTTTCCATCCGCCTAGATAGTACGTGTCATCTAGAAATTCATAATTGAATTTCACTGTAAAGTGCTTATTTCGTGTTGACTTGATCTGTGTGCATTTATCAAATACCACCTTGGCAACGTCTAGCAGAAACATCGTTTAAAAACATATATAAAGTAAATTTAACAAAATATGAATGCTTAACACAATAAGGAAGTGACAAACAAGTAAATTGTAAGTCTCGGCAATGCCGCCAAAATAAAGTTTGTTATATGGCAAATAAGACTTTGTAAATTATGATATATTATGTAACAAGTTCAACGTTATTTGTCATAGAATGTAAAACAAAATGTTACTTACACTTGACATACTATACAAAATGTAAAAAAATGACCTTTAGTGCATGAAAACTCAAAGTTAATGCAATGACTGTCATCGACATATAAAAAGGTAAAACAATAGCAACTGACTTGTAAACTAAAATAACATACCAGGCATTTTTCTTATAAGCTTCCTCATTGGTGTATCAACACACTTAGAATCAGAATCATCATGTTTTGATCTAGACCGCAGCATTATCTTCCATTTTTCAGAATCTTGCGTTTGAAAGATGGCGTAAGCAATTTCTCTGAAAAATATAAAACAGTGGTTGAAGTTCTCCAAAGCCCAATGTCAAATATTTGCAATGGACGCTGTTCATACGTAATGATGAAACCCATAACATAGTCTTCTTGAGATAGTTTATGGTACAGAAAATGCAATTATAAACGAAGTTAATTATACCACCTATCATCATCAGCAGCAGTCGCAGTAGCATCATCATTATCAGCTTCATATAGCAACAAGTTACAACAAAATAAAAAAAATACTTACACTTGATTTTCATTAATCGCCAGATCCAAACAATTCCAATAAAAATTTTCAAATTCAGCTTGGTCAGTTTTGTCAAGCAACACACGAAACACTTCAGAGTGACCTTTCTCTGCAGCATAATGTATGGGTCTCATCTGATTTTTTAACAAAAAGACTGTTTTTATGCGTTTTCGAACAAATCAAATAAATATTTTTGTAATGTTGTATGTTATATTACGTGTTATGCATTTTAAAGAAAAACTTATTAATCTGAATTTTTATTTATTTATTTATTTTTTTTTTTTGAAAAAAAAAAAAAAAAAAAAAAAAAAAAAAAAAAAAAAAAAAAAAACAACAACAACAAAAAAGCAACAACAACAAACTGAAAAGATGAATTGTAATAAAAGAAATATTAAATTAGGAAATAGATCTTGATTTGAGTGATCTGTGTTAAAATATAATATGGAGTTCAGATGCGCAGTAATATAATATGAAGACCTGAGTGATTAATTAAAAAAGAATCTGAACTATATACCTTGCTATATGTATAACACAGAACACTAAAAATAAAGATCTTTTCAATTCTAACACATTCAGAAAAAAGTATAGCTGGATAATATGTTTGGTATGTTTGGTGTCGCCTCAGAGTTTTTTTTATTAGCAACGTTCTTTTATAGTTCTTAAGCGAAAAAAGGCTTTGTATAGAGAAATAAGTGATATTTAACTGTTTTGTAACATTGAAATAGTGTCTTTTTACGTTTTTTGCATGCGCTGTCTAACGCTGCATTGTGACGTCACGTTAACAACACTTATTTTATGATCATGCGAGGTTTGTGAGAAATTTACATCAGTTAAGTAAAGGCACACTTGGAGTGTGTAGCGTTTATTTTTTGGAGAAGAGAATAGTGTTGTTTTGAAGGGAGTATTGTTGATTTGTTGTAGTTGGTTGAATTTATTTGTTGTGATCTTAGTAGATCTGGGTTCATTTGTTGTATTAGGTTGTTGCATTCTATTTGGTTGTCGAGTTATTTTTTTTGTAAGATGTATTTGGTTTTAATTGGTTGAGTTGTATTGAGTGATTTTGTCTTGTAAAGATTCTTATTGTTGATGCTTTGGTTTTATAAGATATCTGTTAATATTGGTTGTTTGGTATAAGTTGTTTTCTGATGCTGATTACATGTTGTGAAGTTAATATTGTTGGTTGAATGCTTTTTGTTTATACTGTATCTTAGAGTTTTGAAATAATTATTTGCTTAATGTAGCGATTTTATTATCTTATTTGGTCACAAGTTTTGGGGACCATATGCCGCTTTTCATGGAATGGCACTAACGTGTCACATTGAAGGTTCCATGATAACCGCCATATGAACACATCTGCGGATGTTTCAAAATTCTAAATTTGACCAGTTCATGTTAAATGTTGAATTCTGCTTAAGCCGGTGCTAGGGGTCGTGGACGGTAGTTTGCACTTGACAGTACCGTCCATGAACAGGCTCAATCAAACCGAGCCTGCAACATTTTCAATTTTGCCGCGTTGAGCTTTCTTTAGGGATTCTTATTTCACTCTATTTTAGAGCTTGGTCTCGTCAGGTGTTAAGTATTGCGTCGTATAAAAGACGTCTACGTGAAAAGATATTTTGTATAAGTGCTTAATGAATGATGTGTGTTGGTTTTGGGTGTAAATAATGATCGGAGTTTGTTGTATTTATGTATTATATGGATTTGAGAAAAAGATTAAGAATATACATAAATAAATAGTGTAAACTAAATTATTTCGTGATAGTTATCAAACTGAGAATATTTTCAATTTATATCAGGCGGTGCTACCTGCTCAGCCTCCATATCGTGGAAATTGTTATAGTTTTATTACTAAATCCTTCTGAAGATAAAATAACATCAAAGCAGTCATTCTCCTGAAATAGTCATATGATTACCCAATGACAAAATCGAATAAGAGGGTCATGGCAATACCTCCATTTTCTTCGAAAAAGCGGACCTGACAAACAAGATAAGGGTATTAGACAAATGACGCCTTCCCAAAACAATTTTTCGCTGCTTTTTAGTTCCTTATGAGAATATATGTATTTTGTTTACCTTTTCTTTATCTTCAAAATTAATATCCGCTTCGTTTTCTATCAACTTATTTGTACATTCCAATAGTCCTTTTTCGGCTGCATAGCTTATTGGCGTTCTATTGTGCTTGTCTCTGTAGTTGTACAATAAATTGGACAAAGGCAATGTAAAAATATACGTTATTAAATTGCTTAATCACTTAAACACACATGAATATTAGTACTAAGTAATAGTTGATTACACGACATGCCATTCCAGACTGAATCAGATAATTTACTTCCTATCACAAAGCGTTCAATGAGACAATTTCGGCAAAATTATGATATTAGTAATGTGTTGATTGGATTATAAGTGACCTTCAAACGGAAGTCAAATAAACATTAAAACATATTATAGGGATTGAAAGTGCTGCTCTAATAGCGTGAAAGCGGCGTGGTATTCTTTAAACAATATCATATACCTACTTGATGTTTACTTTTGCACCTGAATTAATCAGGATCTCTACGACTTTCACATGTTTCATTGCGAAGAAAAGTGCTGTTCGTTTCGACTCATCTTTAAGGTGTTTCAGTCCTGGTCCAGATTTAAGCAACTCTTCAACAACTCTTTAAAATACAACGTTAACGTGTTATAAGTTACCACATTAAATTTTGATAAAAAAAACGAACAAAACACAATTTGAATGAAGGTTTTAATCTTCAACAAAGATCACAACAAATTAATAGAAGAAAGACATTATTTTTAATGAATATGGACATTTTTTAAAAAGATAAAATTTAAGTTAATAACAGCATGATTGTTTTCTCCCCACTCATAAAATACATCTGTCAAGTTGACAATTCTATATCATTCCATTTTTATTTACATGCTCATCCTAATACAGAAATATAAAAAAAACTTGGATGAGAAAAAAGTGATTGGAGATGATGTTAATTTTCATAGAACAGAAAGTTATGCCCATGGACCTTTACTGTTTTTGGCAATGTAAAATTTAGCTCAGCATTTTCTGTTCATTGCTTGGTCAACTATTCACAAACAGTATCACAAATAAACCTATGTTTTCTTTTGGGTGAACCCGGCCAATCGATGACTATGGAATATCCAAGCGTAGCAGTTAGCCAATTTGAACAAAACTGTAAACACGTGTATGTTCCATATACTTAGTGAGCAGGATTTTTCGGCCAAAACATTATGCAGTATTATAATTATATTGTCTCCCGATAAATAAACATGGTACCTATTTCATAGAGCTTAGTTATAACACCAGAAGGAATGTTTCATGAGCTACTGATGCAGTTATATTTTGGTGTCAATTTTATCAAGCGAGGCTGCTATGGGCAGATAGGGATGATGCCTTCTGACAATAGTATGTTATTTCCTATGACTACATTTGACGGAGGTTATTATTAATTTTGAAACAAGCGTTGAAATTCCTGTCCAAGATAAAAAAATATACTGCAAACTGTTTTATTTATTCTTTAATTTGACTTGGAATATTTGCCCCTTTTACAAAAACTGGGAAAGCTATTCACTTTGAAATATATGTTGACTATCTAGGGCAAGTAAAGCTGATTAGCACGTCTGCAGAGTTATGCCCGTTTTTATGTTGCTTTTATTCTACTAAACAGCACTTAGGAAAGCGGGGCGCGCTTGGGAGGCCTTGTTTATATCGAGTAATATGGTTACTTTTGACAGCTTTCGGATTTTTTTTTTCAGATAACAAAATCACAATTCTTTAATAAAGTGACTTTAGACCATTTTCTGAGAAATGCCCATATTTATAAATGTTTCAGTCTTGAATAAAAATCCCAATGTTATCGAAGTTTAGGGCCATTATGATATGATCGCAGTTTGACATGGTCCGCTAGTTAAGATATTTTGTTTCAGACTATTACATAAAATAACGAACATGAGCTAAGTAGAGAGAAATAAATAAAAGTAATGCTGTAATAGTTACGTCCTTTCATCAGAACGGTTCTCGCCAAATGAATATATTCATAATACAGCTTTGTTTATGATCGAACCACCCAACGTTCTATTAACTGATTAACTCGTTCGTTCAATGTCATTTAAAACTCACGGAAAATAAAGACATGAATTTCATTTGCTGGCAAATAAAGCTGACCACAAATTAGAATTATTGACCTGTTACTTTGTACTAAAAATACCTTAGATTTAAATGACAAAAACCCTTCCAGCTGAAAATCTTATTACCTTATACTTCCATTTGCAGCTGCTAGGTGTAGAGCTGTTATTCCATGTTCAGATTTTCTAAACACATCTACTTTACCAACGCTAATTAAAATCTGTTACAGTAAAAACAAAACTCGTTTTAAACTTTATATCTGATTCTAAAACAATTCCTTAATCCATTATACTGTTAAAATATATTGTATGAGTAATTTCATGAAATATTACATATGTAAGAATGGCTTGAAATATTCTTAAATGACATATAATAGATCTGATAACTAATATATTTATTAAGAAAATAACTGAAAGAACTGATTGAAAGTGTTTAAGATAGATATGCCTTTTAAATTGGCACTATAAGAATCTGAACAATTGGCAACATAGGTGAGCTATATGCCTTTAAAGGACACCTACATGCAAAATTAAAACACAATTTACCGTTTTGTTTACGTTTGATGGACACGTCTTTTAATAAAAGCTGGGATTTAAAAGCGCTCACTTTAATAAATAAGAAAACTCTGAATCTATCCTTTCCTTTCCTCTTATAATTTTCAAGAAGCAAATATTAATATTCAGCTAACAAATGACTGAAGCCAAAAGGTTGACCCTACTGGGGCTGGAACCCACAGCCCTCAGTTTTAATGCAGTTGAAAGTTTTTATAGCCTACTTAAATACTCTCCAAAGCGGATGTTATGCATTAAGATGGTCATATTTTAAGTCCCAACTATCACAATTCAAGACAACTGCCAATACAATGTCAGTTTAAGGCACTATTTATCATCTGAACGATAGCCTATGAGTTCAGAATAGATCTTCATATGAGCCGTGCCATGACAAAACCAACATAATGGGTCTGCGACCAGCATGGATCCAGACCAGCCTGCGCATCCGCGCAGTCTGATCAGGATCCATGCTGTTCGCTTACCAACTCTATTACAAGTAGAAAAACTGATAGCGAACAGCATGGATCCTCATCAGACTGTGCGGATGCGCAGGCTGGTCTGGATCCATGCTGGTCACAAACGCACTATGTTGGTTTTGTCATGGCACAGCTCATATTAATTTCAATTTTATAACAAGCACTACTTACCTTCAAACAGTCCAAGTATCCTTTTCGCGCAGCGATATGAAGCGGAATCTTTATTTGTTTTTTGATGTCGTTACCACCATCAATACTCTGTTAATAGCCAATACATGCAATAATATATGATTAAGTAATTGAAGTACATTATCTTTTTTATTTCCATATCTTAATTGTATGAAGATTTAACATTATATCGATTTATCTATGCTTTTAAACAAACAAGAAATATTTTAAAAAAGAACTCGGCCGAAGAAAAACTTGTAAACTTGCATATGTAATTTCTAAGATTTCTTTACATAAAGAAATGTTAGCAATGCTTGCATAACCATAACATAATTGTTTCTTTTAGCTATGGAAAATAGCCCTTTTGTAAACAAAGAAATTAAATTATAAGCATATTGATATTGATGTATATTCAATATAGGGCAACTTCTTTTTTACAGTATTATTTAAGTTTTCCCTTTACTTGCTTTAACGTTTGACTTAATAAATTTTGTTATCATATACATTATTATTAATAAGAATCACATATGAAATATTGAAAATATGAAGAAAATTATACTGGATAGTGTAAAATACTTATGAAGTTTTATTTAAAAAGTAAAATATCAAACATAGTAAGAGCATTGTTAACCGGCCTTGGTTTCACAAATAACAACTGCGATAACACGAGATAGATCTAAAAATGTACATTTTATGTCATTGATGTATGTAAAAATTAATTTATTGCAATATTTATCTGTGAGTGGTTAATGAAAAGGTTTGAAAAAGAAATAAAAAGGGATTTAATAAATTTATTAAGTTTTGGAGACTTGTTTAAAAAATGTTCATTTTGAATTCAGAAAAAACATAAGTATCAGTAGAATAAATAATTGCGGTCTGTTACGTGGGGTGTTCAAATATGAATGCAACTACACCAATATCTCGCTTTTAACCACGTTTTGCACGAACTTTGTACATATATCGCATAGATGGTTATGTAAGCTCTCAATTGATAAATACATATGTAAATCAGCTATCTACCCGTGTATACTAAAGCTAAAATGGTTTGGAAAATGTCTCCTTTCACTGACCAAATACTGTCTTATATCAAGAATCGCTGTATTCTTGGGATACAAGCAAAAGACATATTTAATGAAATATGTCGTGCTTATGAGAATATGAACTTTCTTTTTCATCTGTCACACGGTAGTGTAAGAAATTTAAAAGTGATGCGGATTTAGTAAAAGATACACCCCATGCACACCGTCGTCTGAAAACTGCAACTTCGCCAAAAATGTTTGAAAAGTTAAAGGATTTGATTCCGACTGATGCAAGATTTACAAATTCGTATATAGCTAAATGTGATGGTATCTGTGTAGGATGTGTACAATTTTAAAACGTGATTTAAAATGAGAAGGATAAGTGCCAAATGGATACCCCATCTCCTTACAAAAGAACAAAAACTTGCCCGGGTAATAACCTCCAAACAATTGTTGAAACAGTTCCCTAAATACAACGATCTATCTTTCGCAAATATCATCACTTTTCTGAGCCCGAGCGAAAGAAACATAACAAAATATGGACAACCAAAGGAAGTCAAAGACCTTGCATAGCAAAACGCACCATGAGCGTCCAGAAGGTCATATATGTATTTCTTTGCACATCAAGGTCCTGCTATTCAAATTGCCGTTCAAAATGGTAAATCTGTAAATGCCAAGTTTTGCAAAGGCAAAGTCCTTTATAAATTAAAGAAATATACTCAACAAAGACAGAAACCTGACACTTTATTTCTTTTTTGTGATTTAAATCAAAACATGTGTAGTGAGTATTCATATACTATAGATACACTATACATGTTTTTTTGTTTTGACCGCGTATTGTCAGTAGAATGCAGCTGAGCGTAAAATTTTAGTTTTTGCTCGTGAACCCCGTGCATGCTAAACGATATCAGATAGACAGTAATGTAAGGCACTATACATGTGTTCAGTAACAATTTAGTGTAATTCACACCTAAAGTTGATAGATTTCACAATGCCACGTTTATCAGAAGCAGAGAGAAATCAAGCATTAGGAATGCTTCTGGGTGGGTCATCTGTTGTTGACGTGAGTAGAACGTTTAACTGCAGTCGCAAAACAGTTCATGAACTTGTAAGACGCTATAGACTAACAGGTGATGTGCACGTGACAGGTTCAGACCGGCGACCTTGGCCGCGCCCGCGTTTAACGTAAGTGCACTAACCATTCGCAATCGGGTACACGAAAACAACGCCCGATTAGAGCGCGACGCCCATATACAGGCGGTATTCTCACTTTACGCCATCGTCAGGCCCGTATTAGGTGGGCACGTGCGCACCGTCACTGGCGGCGACATGACTGGAATACTGTCCTGTTTTCAGACGAGTCTCGTCGAAAGGGCGAAATGTTTGCACCTGTCTGTGTTAGACAGCATGATGGTTTCGGTGGTCACGAGTCTCGTTACAATCTAAGTCATGCCGACGGCCGTGTAAAAATTTAACGTCGAAAGGGCGAAATGTTTGCATCTGTCTGTGTTAGACAGCATGATCGTTTCGGTGGTGGAAGCGTCATGGTATGGGGCGGGATAATGGGTGGACAAAAGACCCGGCTTATTGTTATACACGGCAACTTAAACGCCCAGAGATACATCAACGAAGTCTTGAATGCCGAGGCTATTCCGTTTATGCAAAGAAACGGTCCCGTTGTGTTTCAACAAGACAACGCCCGTCCTCACACGGCGAGGATAACTCGCGCTCGCTTAGCTGCAGCCAACGTCAATACCATGCAATGGCCAGCAATGTCTGCAGATATGAATCCGAATCCGATAGAGCATATATGGGATGTGCTTGGCAGAAATGACCGACGACATCACGCCCCACAGAATATCCTACAACTGACAAATGCATTGAAACCGGAATGGAACAATCTTCCAAATAACCTTGTTCAACGTTTCGTCAATTCTATGCGTCGACGAGTTGAAGCACTTCTTAGAGCCAGAGGTGGTCACAACCGATATTGAATTAAATGAAAGAAATCGCATGCATTTTAAAACTGTTAATGAAATGATTTAAACCTATCTGCACGTAGTCAAAACGTTATAGCCACAAAATTGATAAATTGAATTTGACACTTTCCTTAGAACTAACGTAATTTAACAAACTTAAATATAATTAATAAACAACAAAATGCATATCAATGTTGTGTATGCATCTTTTTTTCATGCCCAACATTCGTTTTTACATTTCCGTTTTCGATTTCCTGAAAATAATAATAAAATATACACTGTCGGGTTTCTATTTTTCCTGAGTGTATTTCAAAAACCGACGACCAACAACTAGTCCTGCATGACAATGCTTCGTCGCGCAAGTCGCCATTGTACGAAAATATCTGAAACATCAAAAAGCTGTCGACTTTCCTCACCCTGATTATTCGCCAGATCTTACCCCTTGTGACTTTTTGAGGCTCAAAAACACCTTGCTGGAAGAAAATATCAAACGCTAAAAAAAGTCTGTTCGGCTATTTTCCAGTGTCTGACCAGTTTACCCCAGAAAGATTATGAAAACCAAATTTGAAGTTGAATTAAAAGACTAAAACTTAGTTTATCACAAGGGGTGAGTATTTTGAAGGATTGAGATAATTATTTTGGCACTGTTTGTTATGCACTTTCTGAAAAATGACCAAGTTGCATTCATCTTTGAAGACAACTCGTATCGTGAAACACTGCGTTGAAAAAAATATTGGATCAAGACATAACTTGATATATATTCAAAGTAATAACTTTTCTGTGAAACCGGAATATTACTTATCGTTATTGAAACACAACTGTTGTGAGAATGTACTGCTATCATCATTATGCATTGACAAAATCAATTGCAATTGCATTCAATATTTGCCCCTTTTATATCTATTCCAGCAATGAATTGCCCAACAGGAAAGAAATTGATTTAAGTATAAACCTATATCTTATACATTTATGGTTAATCTAAACAACAGTGTAAGCCTACGTCTCATTTGTGAAAATTATCATAATTATTGTAATGTGTCCTCGATTGCCAGACCAGTTATGGGAATTGTTATATAAGAAAAAATAATATTATCTTTAAATGTATAATCATTTAACTTGCGCCCTACTATTTAATTCAATACGCTTATTTCAGAACAAAGTGACACACGTTAAGATACAACGTACTCAGATTCTGTAAGAAAGCTTATAAGCTTAGTTACCCTTAAACCAATCACTATCAAATATACCTGTTTATCTGGTAGTGGAGTTATCCTAAAAAGCGTATTTTCTCTTCCCGTCCCGTCTGGTATATTTGTTTCCTGTAAAAAGGTTAAATGGAAAGTAAAAGTAATACCGAGAATGTCACATTCAATATAATATTATTAAAGAATAACTATTCATAGTTTAAAAGTAATTACATTTAATTCTATTTATTTATAGTTTAGTTACTTGACAGAAGAAAGTGGCATTTACAAAAATAAATAACAAAAAAATGGCGTCGTTTAAACAACCTGACAACGAATAAAGGAACTGTCGATGGTGTTCCTGCATAGACGTTTTCTCTAAATTCGAAGTAACAGCAATTCGACAACATGTGTAATTATAATAATGGCGATTTAGATTTAATACATAATTGAGCCGTGTCACGACAAAACCAACATAATGCGATTGCGACCAGCATGGATCAAGACCAGCCTGCGCATTCGCGCAGTCTGATCAGGATCCATGCTTTTCGCTTACAAACCCTATAACAAGTAGAGAAACTGATAGCGAACAGCATGATCCTGATCCTGGTCTGGATCCATGCTGGTCGCAAACCCATTATGTTGGTTTTGTCATGACGCGACTCATATATTCAATTTCATACCTGTATATTCATTTGAGAAGACACACCACGAACGTTGATTAAAGAACGCTTGTGGTGACTTATTCTGATGCTGAAATATATATCCCTACTCGTGGCAAACTAATTCAAATACTCGTTTATAGGAATTTACCTTGCCGCCTGTATATTCATCGGCATCTAATAAACGCTCTTGTTCGCTAAGCAATCAGCGAATGGCATTTGGGTTAGGTATGGATATATGTTTTGTTCAGAATGGTCCTTTTGCTTCACATTGATTTTATGGTTAGTGTTATAACGAAAAACAAAAAAGACTTTATATAGCACATTCAAACGAAACGACTTGTAAACTAACTACATCTACTCACTTCAATGATGGTTTTTGACTCGGATCGTTCCCTATTCACAACTGTATCAGTAAATTTATTCTCTAGCAGCTTCTAAAAGAGGGAATAGATCGTATTAATTACATTTAAACTCATGTTAACAATATTTCGTTAAAAAACACGTTTATATTAACTAGAAAGCACGAATTTAATCTACAAATACTCTTTTAGCAATCTACATTGATTTTGAAACCTTACGTTTAAAACATCGACACTGTTATTTTCCGTGGCTAAATAAACAAGACTTTTTTCATATCCATCCGTAGCATTTGCTAGAAATGTCTCCTTATGTTTTTTTATCAGTTTTTTTGCGATTTTAATACTGTTGTGTTTTGCAGCTGTTTGAAGTAACTGCATATCAATGTTTTCAGTCCCACCATTATTGCTCTCATCGACTAGAAGATCGAACACTTTTAGACTGTCGTACCGAATGGCAGTCAATAGAGGGGTGAACTTTTTTTTGTCTGGGACATTTAATTTGGCCTCACTGAAATAGATAAAAAGATATGATTCATCATTGCATTTGGTTTTATTTGCTTGAAACAAGTTCAACGAAAACACGTCTCTCAGAATATTCTCTTTCAACTAAATGAGATTATCAAGAAGTTATGATTGACGTTTGTCTCTCTGGCCATGTTTTATAATTACCGTCATTGTATAGCGATAAAGATACCCTACAAGTGGACGAAAACGCTACGTGGATTTTAATGAGTAAAGGTCTTTCTTAGCAAATTTCAGTTTTACAATTTATTTTAATACTTAGGCCATTAATTTGCTTTGTACAAGGGTAATTCGGAAAGTCTGTATAATATTTTTATCAAGTGCCCAATAATCATGGGAACTAAATTCGTAACATTCATTTTTTATATCTTTTATGTACAGTTAAACAAATATACATGTAACCCAAACCCGAACAACAACCCAACATCAATACAAAATACTGTCTGTGTCTTCAAATTCATTTTTGTAAGTTTTAATAAACCAGTCATCGCTCAATGAGAATATCCCAAGTAAAATTCAGTAGCCGTATCAATTTTACCCACACAAGGCCACATAAATACTTGGATGTACTCTAAATTCAATTGAACTAGGTCCGGACTGTATGGCCGGTGATCCAAAAGCAAACACCCAAATAGTTATTTCCTTAGCTTTGTTGAATTGACCCTGTGTCTTTGTGTTATGTAAGTTATCATTGTATGTAATGTATAAAATATGCTTAAATTAAACGTGTACATAAGTGTACACATGGTAATGATAGTTTCCTTTGAAAACATCAACATGAGGCAAATGGAGGCAATGTGAAACCCTCGTATTTACTGATATCCGTATACTTTAAGGGACCTATTTCGAACTTCATGTAACGTCTCATCTCTGTAAGCTTTACACTCTAAAAGTTCATTGATGGTTTTTGTTTGCAGAACCTACATAAATGTGACCTGTAAGTTGCCTTTATTGCTAGAATAATTTAAATGGTCTGGCCAAAATTCAGGATTGTTATTGACTAAAAAAGAATAAAAGGTATGAGAACACAAATGAGCTGAATAGGCTATTCAGTTTAAAAAGTTGCATCACACCTCAATTTTGTTTATTTATGAGAACTGATTCCTTTAATGTTTTCTACGCCTGCCTAGAAATACCAGTTGAGTATATTCCTTGGATTTATTATCTTGTGATTCAGCAATATTGTTTCAATTTCATATATGTCTTCTTAATATTTTGAAAGGCCATATTTGAAAAGATATGGTCCTATAAAAGTGTGATATGCTTAACCTCAATTATAACCTTTTATTTTCAAATTTAGAAAATCTGGAAACAGTTCATCCCTCGTGGGCGGTAACAGCAGATTGCTATATATGCTGACTTATTTGGCGTCTTTTTATGAGAGACCGTGAAAGGTGCAAAACATGTCAACGACTCTTACCATCGACATAAAATAATAGTTTTATTCAGGTTTGCACAGTTAAAAGTGCATCCTCGAATCGAAGTTTTCATGTCATATGGCAAGGGTCATAAAACACCAAATAGATATCTCCAATGCTTAAAAAAGGAAATTCTATTGATACATATTATTTTTAAGCATTTACTGCAGTACAATTGTATCGTACTATTCTGATAAGTTATTGCACAACAAATCTTTTAGTAACAGTCCATCCCTAAAATAAGATCCGCCTCTAAAATACTGTAAGTTCAAATTACCAAATAGTTTTCATATTTATCAATATTTACAATGAAGAAAATCCTGTCTTACTTTTCAATTAGTTTCTTTGCAATTTCACATCTGTTAAGTTTTGCTGCGATATGCAGAGGTGTTTTTTTCTTCTTGTTTTCTTTATCTATCTGTTCATGATGTTTTTCAAGTAAGCTGTCAAAAATCTCTTCTTTTAAATCATCTTCGTAAACAGCAATATGCAACAACGTATTACCATCTGTATCTGTTTTCATCTTACTTTCGTTTGATTTCAGAAATTTAGAATAATCATCCTCACGTCCGTGTCTAAGATTCTATAAAGTAGTTGCGCAGAAATTGTTAAAATAAATTCGTTTTCATTAAACAAACTTATTACAGTTTCTCATTCTAAAATGAAATAATGAAAATACATATCAAACGTTTGCATAGGTGCTAAATAATGATAAATATATAACATTAGATTTATAAAATATCTTTGAAAAATAATTTAAATAAAACGTTACTTTTAATGCCTAATTAATTCGTAATACTGTCTTTTTATTCAAAGGAATTAGTTTTTATTCACTGAATAAATGTAAACTCTAACTCACGTTAACACAACTAAACCACTCTTCGTCATCCTGACTGTCCTCGTCACCATCATTGATTGTTTCATTATCCTAAACAGAATGTTAAAAGGAACATATATTCTATTCTATTATTACTATTATGTAAGTTGAGTTGAAAATATAAAATATTTCATTGTATTTAACTCGCGTCTATTACAAATAATATCTATGTTTTTTCTTTGTGAATGTAAATCTTATAATATTGTTTAATGTTGCATAATTATGCTTTTTTTGTTTTGCTGTTATACGAAAAAGGCAAGAATATGGCCGAATTGCTGCTGCAACAACAACAACAACAACAACAACAACAACAAAAATGAAAATCGTGGCCGATGAAAATTGACTTTCACTTCAAAAAATTATCTCTGATTTTTGTATTTATGAAAACATATTAGCAGTGCCTGTTAAATGATAAAATAAGAACAGTGAATACCTGTTCGAAGACTCAATTGTGAATGTTAACAATGCTATTTTAATAAATGGGCGATACCTCCCCTTTTTGGAATAGAAGCGATATTCCGACCCATAACAAACAAAGAATTTAAAAAGAACACACACAAACCACAACAACAAAAAAACGAACAAACAAAAGAACAAACATAACAAACATTAAAATCACCCCTTAACAAAAAAACATGAACACACAAGAATATACGTACTTCGGAGTATTTAGACTCTGTAGAAGAATCATCGCTAGAAATACCATCGGCAAAATCGCTTTCCTTGAAATAAAAAAGAGATAAATTCGAAAAGTTATCAGTTCGTTAAATTTCATAAAATTCTAAAACAAGTCAAGCTAGAGTACCGAATCTTATCACACATTATTTACGTCATAATACGAAGTTTCAAGTAGATACCTTAAGAAATAAATAAGAAATATAAAAAAAATCAGGAACGATATTTCTCATGATACTTGTGCTAGAATTATGAACTTGGCCACATATGGATTGGGCGATGATAAAAAACACAAATTTGAAGTTTGATATTGATACAATATGTAATAAAAAGTGATAAAAACAACTCTTTCCGCTGAAAATTCAAAGTACAAGGGACGTAATTCTGATTATTTTGGGGCAAGAGTTATGAACCTCTAATTGATGAACACAATTTTTTTGAAAATTGATACCTTAAAATATAAAGAAGTTATAAGGAAAAAGATTTGACTGTGTTTCAACTATATGCAGTCGCTAACGTTGGGTGAGTACGACAGCTCTCAATATACTCTGTATAGTCCAGCTCCAAATAACGTGCATAATATCCTATCCATAAGTCAAGTTTCATAAAAAATATGTTCAGTACTTTTTTAAATTTGAATATTGTTATATTTGCCATATTTGATGTCTTTTTGTCGCCAGAGCAACCAAAGTGTTCAACATAGGAAGAAAAAAAGACGTGCATAATTTCCAGATTGCCCTCTACGCTTCTTTGCCATTTTTTGTTCCAAGTACTTTTTGCGTTATCACGGGGTTTAATCAATATTGCCATGTTTTGAGTGTATTCGTTGTCATAGCAACCAAAGTTTTCAACAAAGGAAGAAAAAAGAAGACTTGCATAATTATTATCTTGACTGCCATCTACCTATATTTTCATAAAACACATTTCAGTACTGTTTGCGTTATCACGGAGTCAATTTTGTGTGGACGGACAGACTGACAGACGACCTAAAATCCATAATCCTCTCCCCCGGTTAAACCGGTAGGGAACAAACAAAAAGCTAAATGAAAAGTTTTAAGCTTTAAATTTCAAAGTATTATGAAGGTTTCTTTTGAACACCTGACTGTATTTTGTATCGATAGAATAGTCTTAGTTTAGGAATGTTATTCAAAGGGAACAAAGCTGCTATGCATGACTACTTTAAGTAACCTCATTTTATCACTCCAGATGTAGTTACACTAAACTAAATAAAGAAAGTAAAACGTTTTAGAAAGATATGTAGTACATCTTGTGATTCAGTAGATATCCCGTCTTCATCTTGTGAACTTTCGTCCTCAGATTCATTGTCCTAGAAATACAATATGTTCACATAAGTATTCTGAAATGATGTTTTTAAGACAGATTTTACACATTTTAACGTGCATATATAAACTAAAAAATGTTGATTCAATGAAATAGTAAAGCCTATTTTGTTTAATTGGCGTTGTTATTTGTTTGATCATTATCACCGAAAAAAACTATTGACATATTAGGCAGAACATATATTCCAAACTACTACTTGTTTCATAATGCTTTAACATTAGCCATAATCACTGTTATTACAAAATAAATACAAGTTGACTCTAAGGTTAAGTGACTCCGCACTCTATCAACAAAGACAAAATCTTTAACACGTCTTTAAAATCTTTAACGTCCTTTGTCAAAACTTGATAAACATCATATAGAACATTTCTCATAGTGTTACATTTCTAATAGTTTGGTAAAGAGAAATGAATGTTTAAATGTCCCCTTACTTACCAAGTGGTAAATACTAAAATAATGTACCCTTTTTGGCCAATTAAAATCATAATAACAATTGTTCAGTACATTTCTCACGTTAATCCATGAAAATGCATAAATTGAATTTAAAGGGATTTAAACAAGCATAAAATTCCTTCAATCATTTGCACTTGATATGTTCTCGGAGCCCACAAGCGGTAATTCGTGTCCCTGCAGTATGCTTTACATTTTTATCTATCTAGCCTTTTAATGCATTCTTTAATTAGCAACATTCATCTGGTATAATATGACGTAAATGTACATTGAAAGCAACGTTTCCTCGAACACTGGTCCTTTCCATTTCCTAAAATAACACTAATTATATCAAATTACTGCTATTAAGTAACGCAATCTCAATGAAAAAATCGCATATTTTCACGAATGAAAATGCAACTTTTTATTTGGATCGAATGATGGTCGTTTAAGAAATAAAATGGATCGTTAACAAATTTGTAATATAGAGTATTTAATTCAGTTCTGTGCAGTTTCTATAGACACTCGTAAGATATTATTAAGATAAAACGTACTTGTCGTGACTCAGGGATTATGTCGCTAATATCTAGCGATGTTCTATTGTTAAATTTAGTTAATCTCCTATCATAACTTTGCCGCGAATCTAGCATGTTTATTTCATGTAACCTTTACTATAAGTTCTCATATTTCACGTGTTTTTATTGAGTATTTCTGCTTAATATGTAATATTATCTATAAAACCTAAACTCCTACTTGCTCCTTATTTAATTTTGGTGGGAAGAATTCACATGTTCACAAATGTTCACGATTATCATGCTTTTCTTGTAATTATTCTTTATTCTCTATTAAGTTCTTTTGCAGCTAATTTTTGGCTACTATACATATTGATGTTATTGTGTTCTAGCCAGTTGTTGTAAAAAAGAGTTGTTAAAAGACATTGCAAAAGTGGATCTGAAAAGGAATTATTGAAATTGTGAATGTTGGAATTTTGCATTAAAGGAAAAATTAAAAGTGAAGAAATGGATTTAAAGTGTTTGTATATCAGTGTAGTTAAAAGGTGTTGAGAATTCGCTACATTGAAAATGGTCCCGCGAACCGGATACGTAAAGTGATTGTGAAAATGTTTAGATCAAACTTGTGAAAGAAAGAGGAATAATGATAACCATTCAGCCGTAAAACTACCAAAACTAGGGTTGAATATGTTCTTTGGAGACAAAATACGCTGATGTGAATTCTGGGATGCATTTGAGTGTACAGTACACAAAAATTCTAAATTATCAAATATTGAAAAGTTTAATTATCTTCAAAGAAAGTTTGGCGCAGAAGCAAAGCGTGCCGTTGCTGGTCAAGCTTGTACAAATGATAATTAAGCGGTTGCCGTTAAAATCCTTCGAGAAAGATTTGGGAATAAACAGGAAATCGTGGATTTGCACTACAATGAGATATTGAATCTACGACCACCAACATCGAGAATTACTAGCTTAAGGTTGTTATTGACTCGATAGAAAGACACCTACGTGCTTTAGAAGTGTTAGGTGAGAATATTGATCAACACATTTTTGTGTCAAAGATAAGTAGTAAATTATCAGAAGATATCTTACGACATTTAGAATTCAACAAAGGTGCAAAAAATGAATAGACTGTTAATTTACTCCAGTGTCATTTGAGAGATTATATAGTTGCGTGTGAAAAGGCTGAACGAAGAAAAAATGATTATTCAGAGCCCAAAGTTAATCAACCATTCTCTCCAAATAAGGGAATTACAGGGGAAAGATATAACATTGGAGTAACAAGAAATAGTGATAACCTTTCAAAGGCAACGAGGGGATATGAATGTTCTACCGGAGCACCTTACGTCACGAAGTTCAGCAGAATCATTACTAATGAATGAAAATCAAGGAAAGGATAATCAGCTTAACAAACATAGTATGCCTACATGTCACTTCTGTAAAAAGAAACATTGGAGTGACGAATGTACAATCTATAAAACTATAGAAGAAAGAAAACAAAGACTTAAAGGGTGTTGCTATCGTTGCCTCAAAGGGGGTCATTACGTAAGTCGTGCCTGTGTATACTGTAAAGAGTTTAACAAACACCATAGAAGTTTATGTCCAAAACGATTTACAAAGAATCTTACAAAGAAAGAAACACAAGTTCATTTTACAAAAGAAAAGGAAGATGATGCCTTCCAGAAAGAAGTAATTGAAGAGAATGTTATGGTATCCCATGGAGAAACAGTGTTCATGCAAACAGATAGTTCGACTGTTAAAAATCCAGATACGTCATCAACAGCTAATACAAGAATCTTGCTTGTTGTGGTTCTCATCGTACTTACATTACTCAGAGACTTGTAAACAAATTAGGACTAAAACAAGAGGGTGTAGAAGAGCTTAAAGTGTAAACATTTGGAAGTACACACGCAAGGGTGATAAAAACGCCAGTGACGAAACTGGACCTAAAACTAAACAGTTGAAAATATCTCCAGATTCGCACAATTATCATGCCCGTTATAAGTGGAAATGTTCAACGCAAAAATATTGATGTGTCACTTGAAAAGGAGTCAACGACCATAGAATTATTAATTGGAAATGATTATTATCTAGACATATTGTTGCCACAGAAAATTGAACTTTTACCGGGGTTGTACCTCTTAGGATCCAAACTTGGTGGGATTCTGACCGGAAGAACAAATAGTGATGATAAACATGATACTGTTCCGAACTTTCTGGTTCAAACATATGGTAGCAACACTACAAAAATTAGTGTATTCGAGCCTCGACATAACCTGGAAGATTTCTGGAAAATTCAATCCATATGTGTAAATAATAAAGATATTGCAATTGATGACAAATATGCTATGGACAAATTCAAAAGCACTGTGAGGTTTGAAAACGGGAGATACCGGGTACTTTGGCCATGAAAAGAACTTTCTCCTAACCTACTTGCTAACAGAGAACTAGCATATGGGAGATTGAAATCGTGTCTTAAGGAGTGAGCAATAACCTGAAAGTTTAGAAAAATACGATTCCATTATTCAGGATCAGCTCAAAAAGGGTGTTATTGAAAAAGTCAACGATTCACTGTCAAATGGATTAGTTCACTATATTCCACACCATGCAGTTATAACGTCTCAAAAAATACTACAAAAATCAGAGTCGTTTACGATGCTTCTGCTTAAACTTCAAATGAAAACAAAAGTTTTAAACGAATGCTTATTCAGAGGACCAGTCCTACTTCATGACCTTTGTGGACTTTCGATGTGATTCCGTCTCCATCCAGTTGCAATAGTGTCTGGTATTGAGAAAGCATTTCTACAGATCGGCTTACAACAATCTGAAAGAGATGTCACAAGGTTTTTATGGGTGAAAGATACAAAGTGTTCTACTTTGAAATCTGAGAATCTTCAAGTGTATCGTTCTTGTCGTGTTCCTTTCGGGATCAGATCAAGTCCGTTTTTATTGAGCTCAACAATAAAAACACATCTTGATTCCTACGGTACAAATGTAGCTGAAAAGTTAAAGAAAGATATATACGTAGATATAATAGTATCACCGGAGTAAATAGTGACGAAGAAGCAATTATCCTATATCAGACGGCAAAGAAGATGTTTTCTGATGCAGCTATAATTTACGAGAGCAGCTAACTAATAGTGAAAACGTCAACAATGTTATTCCGATAACTGACAGAGCTGAAATGAAAGAAATGCCAGTTTCTTTGTCACATATGGGACTATAAAACAGATACGATATATTTAAAACAAAGCAGAGTTTTGGATGACAGTTTACCACTCACTAAGCGAAACATATTGAAGAGAGTCGCTTCTGTGTTTGACCCTATGGGCTTATTCTCTCCTGTTGTACTTCGTGGAAAGATATTACTTCAGGAATTGTGGAGCAAAGGACGTGGTTAAAGATGAGCAAATAAAACACAGATGGTGATCAATTTCTCAAGACCTGTTAGATATTACGGAACCCAAGTTACCTAGAAACATAAAGACCAATGGCAAATTCAAAACATTTAATCTTTTATGCTTTTGTGATGCGTCCACAAAATCATATGCAACATCAATTTACTTACACCAAGAAGAAAAAGAGTTGTCTAAAACAGATCTGATATTTGAAAAAACCCGCCTTGCTCCGGTTAAAGTAATGACTGTACCAAAATTAGAATTGATGGCTGTTCTAGTCGGGTAAGATTTTTGAGTTTCATGAAAGAACAACTTCAACTTAACATTGAGAATATGTTTTTGCGGACCGTCTCCCAAATTGTATTACACTGAATAAATAGCGTCAAACCATAAAAAATGAAGAACTTCAAGAAGCTAAAACAAGATGGATAACATTTGTTCAAAGAAAACACTACATAAAAGACTTTGTTGCAGTAGAAAGTAAAAGGCCAAGTGCGTTACAGAAACAATTAGGCTTATACATTGATGATAAAAGAGTTATGGGTTGTATTGGACGACTTGAAAACTCCGATTTACTGCAAGGAGCTAGACGACTAATACTTCTACCAAATTCAGATTGACGGAGCTTATAAAAGAAAAAGCACATAAAG